TTTTAATATCAAAATTTTAAAATACAAATGAGTTGAAACTCAGAAAAATCACTATGTTGGAATAAGGAATGTTGAATGTTTTCTGCAGACCATATGATATGTTTATTATTGTGATAAAAATAGAAAGAACTATAGACTATAAGATTTTAAAACAGTATTGGTAAGAATGGAAGAAGAATCTTTCCCTTACCACCACCTCCTAATTCATGTGAGCGCCCACACAAACAGTTTTGATCAAGCAGATGGTCTCAGAAAATTCCTGGACAACTATTCAAGTCTAGGGTCATCTGTGTTATTGTAAGGCAGTGAAGTGAAATTACGAAGGTATGCTAGTTCACATTAACATTTGTCGGGTCAACAGGGTGCTTTTATAGAAGGGTGTGTAGGGTAGAGAATGCCATCAGTCACACACAGGACATGTTAAGAGTGTAACATTTACAAAAGTTTGGGAATTATTTTTGTCATAAAGCCTGTATTCACCTTCACAGGTGAAAAGATAAAATTTCTCAAAAACAATACTAGAATAAATAAGGCAAATCAATTTTCTATGGTGATATGTTATCTGTTTAGGCAACTGATATTCATTAATCAGGTTATGTTAAGGTCTTTATGTGTCAAGTAATGCATAAGAATACCTTTGCTTGTGAAGAATCTGTAAATGCTCAAAGTATAATTGGCCCAGGGAATTTATGCTAATCACAACCTCTTCTTCAGACACCAAGTCTACCTTGAATGGGTTTGCTGTGATATGGCACTTCAGGCCTCCTTTTCCATCTGCCAATATCAGACTCCCTGTGTCCCCTGAGCATGAAATCAGCCTAGAAAACAAAGCAGGAAGAGAAAAACAAGCCGCTATAGGTTTACATGGCCTTATGTGATTTGTACTGCCAAGTAATTAATTAGTAAATCACTATTCATGTGACATAGCCATAGATAAGGCAATAGAGAAACGTTAACGAGAGCATTGGCTTTGGTGCCAAAGAACTTAAATTGAGCATAACTCTACATATACTTTATAACTTTGGATAACAAAGTTATCCAACCTTTCTAGGTTTTGGTTTCCTTATCTGTAAGGTGAAAATAACAAAAGGAACAACAAAATTTCTGCAGAGAATTAAATGAGATCACATGTGTAAAGCTCTTGACACAGTGCCAGACACATTTAAAAAAAAAACAATAAATGTTAGCTATCATCATCGTCATCATCATTACCTTGGTCTGGAATGCCTAGTAACTTGCTAGATTTTGGTGTGCAAAATCTAAATATTGTTTTTCTTTCTCATTCCAATCACATACTCAGAAACCGAGGAAATAACACAGATTGGGTCCACAGTGAGATGGAACTGGGTCAAATTTTTATTTACCTATTTATTGCCTGATTCCCAGCAGCCTCCAATTTCACAGGTACACTGTTAGGATGTTTTAGATCCACAAGAATTATGTAAGCTCAGACACAGCACTTAAAATCCCTCAAAGCTAGATAATTCCCTTTCTCCAGTGCACAGTGTGCCTAGTAAATGTTCACAGGACTCTTTAAGGAAGGTAAAAAGAGACAGTTTAGGTTCTTATTACGTCTTTTCAGTCCTTCTCCATGGATTCTATGTCTCCTCTTCAAGCAAGATGCTTCGGATCTGGAAATTAACTCTGGAGAAGGCTGAGAGGCTGTCTCTCACTGTTCAATGAACCTAGACAGAGTTCTTTTGATTATTCCATTAAGTAGGACTGTGGTTCGTATTTGTCAGTCTAATGTACCCCGCCATAAATTGCTTACTGCCCCAAGCATTAAACCATTTTGAGTACTACATGGGCCCTACCACACATAATGGAATTATGTTCACCTTGTCTCTGACAACTAAATGTTTCTACTCTGCCTCTGCTACCTGGAGTCTCATTATCTCCACTGAAATCAGGGAGACCATTTTAACGGCATCATTTCCCACCATCATCTCCAGCCCACAAAAGGAAGACATTCACTACAGTGCTTTCCAAGTACTCCCTCATCAGTTTCTCAGTGAAGGGGGTATGTTCTGGATCTCGTGGGGAACAGAATCCAGAGGGGCTAGATGAGCTGGTTGCATGAAACAAATCCACTCCAACATCTTTATCTGTCTAAGTCTATGGATCATTTCCTCTATACCATGCCAAGGAATTCCTGATATCTCAGCTTCACTCAAAAGAATCCATAGCTGAGTTCAGATGATAATTAAACAACTAAGCCATCAATCAGAGCCATTCTCAGCTGCCCAAGCTAGGATATCAAATCTGCATTCTCTGGTACGTGTTCCTGTGTCAATAAATTTAGCCTGATCTACAATTAAGTTCCTTCTGGTCTAGGAATTCCTTGGAAACCATTTCCATGCATATTTCCCAGTTTTTTTTTTTTTTTTTGCCATTATGTAGTCTTATAATTTTTCAGGCATGCAAGCCTTCTCCCCCTGGGTTTGTCTGTAATTGGCTCTCTGGGCATGTCAGGATCTGACTTTGATGGTGGGTCTGGAGGCAGTGAAGGGTGGTAGGGGTTGGGCACAAGGAGCACTGGAATCCCTGTGCATGTATATTTTAGGTGAAGTCAATACAGGGTATCCAAGCAAGGCAGGATCAGTTTCACCTGCCTTCATAGAAGGGATTGCTTCCGCTGAAATGGGAGGGCCAGTGAAATTTTGAGGTTTGACTATTTAGAATTATCCAACTCTTCCCAAATATTGTTATTCAATTTTTAAAAACTTGATTTTTTTTTTAGAGACAGGGTCTTGCTCCATCACCCAGGCTGGAGTGCAGTGGTGTGATCATAGTTCACTGCGGCCTTGAACCACGGGGCTCAAGTGATCCTTCTACCACAGCCTCCTGAGTAGCTAGGACTACAGGTGTGTGCTACCATGCCTGGTTAATTTTTAAATTTTTTGTAGAGACGCAGTCTCACTTTGTTGTCCAGTCTGGTTTACAACCCTTGACCTCAAGCAATCCTCCTGCCTTGGCCTCCCAAACTATTGGGATTATAGGTGTGAGCTGCTGCACTCAGCCTGCTATTCAATTTTGAAGAGTTCTAGGTTTTCCCAGTTAATGCCTGAAATTCACAGACCTGATGAGGCTATGAATTCAACTTATGGCCTAATTCAGAGCCTGCAATATCAAACTCTGCCTCTGATTTTCAGCTACATGTACCTGCAGCTACAGCAGATAAGAGGACTTTTAGGATTGTCACAGAAAATTATCAATCTTCTGACAATACCTTGAGCTAAGAATTTAAAGCCCTGAGACTACAGTTTTCTTTCTTTAAACTCTTCAGTGAAGTTGAAGCAGCCAAGCCACCCTAGAGCTCTGAATTCTGCATGATAATCATGATGCAGTATGGCCCTACCTCTTGGTCTGCTTTCAATGGGCCACTTTATTTTAGTTGACCACCAGTAGTCATTTAAGTAACGTTGCCACAGAATTTTGTGGTCTATTATTAGTTGTATTAGTTTGGCAGGGCTACCATAAGAAAATATGACAAACTGGGTAGCTTGAACAACAGAAATTTATTTTTCTTAATTCTGGAGGCTAGAATTCCAAGATCAAGGTGTCCGAAAGTTGGGTTTCTTGTGAGGCCTATTTCCTGGGCTTGCAGGTGGCTGCCTTCTCACTGTATCTTCACGTGGTTGTCCCTCTGTGCCTACGTCTGTGTCCTAATCTCCGCTTCTCACAAGGACACCAGGTTTAACGGATTAGGGCCTACCCTAATCACCCCGTTTTAACTTATTTACTGCTTTAAAGGCCCTATCTCAAAATACAGTCACATTCTGAGTAATAGAGGGTAGGGCTCAACACCTGAAATTTTGGGGGAACACAATTCAGCCTGTAACAATAGTATCCCATCCTCTATTGGTAAATACATCCTCACTGCCTCCAAATCCAGCTAGGTCAGCCAGTCAATCTCATATTCCCATCCTTGAGGGGCTATTGCTTATATTCATTTCTAACAGCAACTGCTATATCAACCAAGGCTCTATTGTAGAAAACAAAAACAACTCTGGCTATTTTAAGCAGAAAATAAATGACTTCATATGGATAATCTGTTGCTTATGACATCATGGGAAGGGTTGAGGTAGTAGGTTCCAGGCTGCATGTCCAGGAATGACCCCTAGAACAATACTGTGTAACTGTATGGCCAATTGACCTTCTATCTTAGCTAGAATCAGGAAGTTGAGTTATCAGAAGTCACTATGATAACTGCTGGGCTCTGGGATCATGCCACCTTAGCTATAATTCAGAGATGAGTAAATCATGGCCTTAACTAATGGCCTTAAGAGTCACTCTATAGGTACAAAATCCATATAAGCAAAAAGAGGAACTCAGTTCTGAAATCCAGGTTTTTTTAAGTGCATCTGACTGGTGGAAACTGAATTACATCAGAACCTATAGCAAAAGGGAGTCTGGGAAATGAGGAAATGTAGTTTTTAGCTTTCCAGTTACTACAGTAGCCAAAGGCCCTCCAGAAAGAAGTCAGAACAGAAGCAGAACTAATACCATATTTACCATACCAAATGAATTATCACCTGGACCCTAAATCATGGCAAAGACAGCATGGAAAGAGAAAATTACACATTAACTTACTTATGAACACAAGTGTAAAAATTGTGAAGGCTGTATATTCTTCAGGATAACAGAAAATAACATATTGTGGCCAGGTTATATGTATGCATTGATTCAATTGCCAAACTGCAAAAGACTTCAGAAACAGTCTCTTTTAAGTTCTTATTCAGGGCAGGCATTGTGGCTCATGCCGATAACCCCAACACTTTGGGAGGAAGAGGAGGGAGAATCATTTGAGGCCAGGAGTTTGAAATCAGCTGGGGCAACACAGCAAGACTCTGTCTCTATCAAAGAATAAAATTTTAAAAAATTATGTTTACTAAGATATTGGCACATAGTGTGGCTCAGTGAATAGATGTATTTTAAACTTTTGATGATTCTATCATAAATGAATTAATTTCTCATTATAATGTACTGACTTTTTTTATTATACTTTAAGTTCTAGGGTACATGTGCACAACGTGCAGGTTTGTTACATATGTATACATGTGCCATGTTGGTGTGCTGCACCCAT